TGTTTGTTCATTTCTTAATCTATTATAAACATGTAATTTAATCTTTCGATCTTATGTAATATATTCGATCTTACATATTATGTCATAATTAATTATAGAATAAAATTTTGTTTGTGATTTATTTATAAATATTGTCGACTTCAGCAGGCAGTAGAGATTTAATGTTGTCATATGAAAAGAAATTGCATTTATTATTATCATCATTTCTATTATTATCAATGTATATTACTTTTTAGTTAAAATATTATTTGAATCTATTGTGAGTGAACGGCAGAATTAAACGTGTACCAAACCACTGCGAGTGTAGTATTCTTAACGAGGCACATGCACTGACCGGTTCCGAGAGGAACTCATAAAAGTACCAAGGCAATGTGATTCCGGGACAAGATCTCAACAAAGTGAGAGATTTAAAGAGAGAGAGAGATAAGTTTAAAAATATTAAAATAAATTTGTCTAGAAAAATAATAATTAAAAACGTTTTTAAAGCTAAAGAATATCGACACTCGTATTTTCAATAAAGGCTGCTGAGAAACAAGACTGCTGACGGAATTCTATAATTCTTTCAATTTGTCTTCACATGTTTGGCAATTATGCTGTTTGTTGCAACGGGAGATGTAATCCCTTGAAGTAACTTGAAGCATTACGGAGTTTCAAGGAATTGCAGGAAAGTCTCGACTTCTTGGCCGTTCCACGCATCGCGCGCGCTTTCTCACGTACACGAGTCTCTTTCTCGCGTCCCTGAAACTGGTCTCGATCGCGAGCACCAGAGTTAGGTACAAACATTAGCGGTCGTTGGCCTTGTACGCTTTCATATGACAACGGAACGGGATATATTTTAAAACAGAAGCTCACTTGATTTCTAAAATAAGAGTTCTTTTGAATCGAACTGAAAGAACGCTCGCAATAGAGTGATGGAAAGCGCATTAGGTATCGGCATAAGAGAATAAATAGAACTATCCTTTATTTTCTCTTTCTTTCTTTTTCTATCACAGGTCGAAGGGCTACAAAATACAAATATATATCTCACATCACCAACAATAGTTAGAATATATATATATATATATATATAAACTAATAAAAGTCAAATAATGATAAAATATTGTTGTAATGAAAGAAGACATTACAATTATTTTACAATTTATAAAAGAATGAACAGTGATTCTTGAGAATACGCATGATAAAATGTCCGAAGTATAATAAGATAATATATTCAATGCATGTTGCAACGTAGTATATGGACGCGTAGTACAATTTGTCATGTATGGCACGAAATAAAGTTTACAGTTATCGTCTATATTAAATAATATTCGAAAATTACTGTAAAATTATTATTTTATTAATTCAGCTTAATCTTTGTATATTTTTTTGTGTTAATCCATATCATGTTAAAGATTTCTTTTACGAGAAAAATTTTTATTAGAAAAATATTCAAATATTATCAAAAAAGAAAATAATTTAGATTATCAGAAAACATTTTTTAAGAATCGACGATATATCTCGTTTTCTTGTAAATCAATTGATAGAAAAGAAAAGATTATTATTTGAATCTTTCAAAAGGCAAATTGATTAACATCTCTCGCAATTTTAGTATTAAGCACATAGATCGGTTTACAATGTCATTGATTTTCCCCAGTTCTTATGTTTTACAGCCAGTCAATTTGATTTCTGAGGGACTCGTTTCATTTTTGGACATGACAATATCCTTGTTGTCATATACTTACATATTGTCAAAATCGCATCTAATAATCGCCGTCGCGCAACGGTATTTCGCACTTGTTGCTCGGAGCGCAATAAACCTTGCACGATGCGATTATGTGGTGCGAGTATATTTTGACAGAGCAAACTCATCAAGTATATATTAAGTCTATACATGAAACTTGAATGAAGCCGTATAATGTTTTGCAGGGTCTTACTGTCCACTTCGCGCGCCGACAATAGTATACATGCTTATAAATATGACTTTAAGCAGCTATTTTGTTTAGATGCAATCATGCGATATACGATAATGTAATCTAAAGCACCCAAGACAAATGTTTGTACCTATAACTGTTTAAAGGCGATACGAATTACGAATCGAGTTTGTCGAATCGATGTGTCTCTCGCGGACGGATTGATCGAAACAGAAGCCTCCTCGCGCATACACGAGCTGTTGTACGTATGCCAATAGTTATTTTAATATTTTGTCATTAATGTCTATTGATTTAATGTGCAATATATAATGCGATACATAATGGGACCGCGTGGTGAAAATAATCGCATTGCGTTGCAATTATCATTATATTTCGACTTATCATCAGATCGCGTCTATATCTACAAGCATAAATATTCTATATACGCGTACAGATATAAGCAATGGTTTCTAATTAATGAGAAAGCGATATTCTCTGCGCGGCGCGAGAAGCGCACGCTCTAACACTTGTTATATTTCACTCATAATTACTCGTTAAATTAAAATGAAAGGCACATGCTTACATATATACATATATATTAGCATTAGTCATTACTGCAACGTCCCTGACCAAGCGCGTTTCTTCATCAACGATGTATACGAAGATATACGAGTATTTATAAAATCCACATCTATAAAATTCACTCGATGCTTTACAACTGGTTTAAAACAATTGTGCCTGAAGAAAAAACTAGTCTGATTGGACAAGTTTTGTGAATGAATGATGATTAAAATTAACAATTCATCATTTCGGCTGGTCCAAGGACACGACATTATATTCAAGCAAATATCCTAGGTATACGACTCTCGATCGTATTGGTCATGGTGTGACCGAAAGTTAATAATTAGTTACCAATATGTTTCTCATCAAAGTATTGCTACTTTCTAAACGTAGATTCTTTCGATAATTCATATACCTACTATCGTCAAAGAATATTAGATAATAGTTAAAAGAGTTTTGTATTTAAAATTAGAAAAATTCGATGAGAATCAAATTCACTATAAATTGTGTAAAATGTAATCATGGATTTATGTAGAATTTAACATAACGAGATTTTTATAAATTTTGATTTTTCATATGAAACGCATGAATTCACAATGATTTCAAGATCTCCGATAATGGTGCTTAGATTCTAAGATTTATTTAGTTTACTGTATAATCGGGTCAAATAATATGGAAGTTTCGGTGAGCACGCCACTCACCAAACGTGAGCTATAACTACCAAGTATTCTTGATTCGTTGATTTCTCCGTGAAATGACAGGTATTTCCTGCTGGTTGCGGAAGTCGCTGTCAACAACGAATTCGATTATGAGAAAGCAACGAGCTGCGATGCGGCGTCTCGCAAAACGCAAAGTAAGTTTCCGTTGATTAATCGAAAGGCACATTGAACGCTGCGGCTCATTAGCAGCAGTACCGCCTTGGGATCGATGGATTTGCAAAAAATGAAGAGATCGAAAATTATTCTGTTCTTCTTCTCTTTCTGTCGCTTTCATCTCTGCTTAGTTTCCGAGTGGAGGCCGGCCATCAGAAGCTACCACACTCTCGCAAGACACGATTGCCCAGCGGCATCGGTGGACGGAAGTTGTTGATCACCTGCAAAATGTCAAAGAAATAAAGGATTGGGATTATATAAAAAAGGGTGTGAGGGTGTATCGTGATGCCGAAACCTTCTCGCTTGTCGCCGAGACGGCGGTGGTCGCGGTCATTGACGTCGAAGGCGTCCTGGACGCCTAAAAATAGCTACCGTGGTGTGGTTCACGTATATCGAGCGAAAGAGAGGAAAAAAAGAGAAAAAACGTCGACTCGTTGCGACGATATGCATCTTTCGCGGCTGAAAAATGGTGATCGTGTTGTTGCAAAGGCGTTCGCCGTGTCACGTTGATTGTCAAAATTCATTTATCGAGGGAAAGGAAGCGTAAGAGAATATCGAGAGAAAGCAGTACAGGAAATTCTTAGAATGGTTTAGACAAAGGAAAGACGATAAGTTGTCTTGCGTCTTGCGATATTAGGAATTAAACGCAGATAAAAAGAAAAGGAACGTCGCGCATGAAGCGCGGAAACGAAGCGTGATAACTTTTTCTTTGAGATATTTCTCACTTACCGCCCCGTGATTCTCGTGGCAAGGGCATTCCTCACCACGTGGGAATTTTCGCAGATTGCGGAAAATGTTTAGCTGATGATGGGACACCTCGATGTACTTTTTGAATAGAATCCAAGTGACGCTCTCGTTGCACGGTGGCGTTGTCAGTGAGCCCAAGTATGTCCAATATCCATTGTCGTCTAAAGAAGAGAATCGAGATGATTTTTCATGTTTACAAAAATAAAATAAAAAGAAATTTTTAAGCCGATGACCAAAGCGATGCGATAAAGAGATGTACAGAAATGTGATCGTTTAAATCAGCTGTAAGATGCGATTGATAAGGCATGATATATATTATTTCATTGTATATTATATAACAAATGTGTTTGTGTCGTTATTTTATCTTTTAACGTGATGTAGCATGTAATTAATTTCGAAACAGTTATATCGATTATATATATAAACGGTTATATATATTAAATTTAATTTGGAAGTTAATCATGTCTGAAAATCGATATTCTTATATTAATATTTTTTTAAGTTATTGAAATATTTTTTAAGTTGTTAAAATATTTCTTTCCTTCTATTATATTCCACGTATGAATCAACACAAATAAAAATTAAAATATATCGAATAACATAAATTGAGTTAATGTCCAATAACTAGTTATATTTTGGTTTTATTTTTCTTTACTTGAAAAGTTTAATAAAAAGTTTATATAAAAATAATGGAAGGAAGTATATTGAAACTGGAATTACGCAATTTGATTAACGTACTGTTCTCTGAAGAAGCAAATATGCCAAATATCGTATCAATACGGATTCTTCGTTCATTTTATCTTTCGGTGTCATCGAATATTTTAATAATACTTTAGAGATATTTCTTCGAAATAATATTGACAAATGATACTGACAGTATTACTTATCAAGGATAGTAAACGTAAACATCTAGGTAAAGAACTACATGCATAGAAATATTTAACATTATTTAACATACACACACACACACACAGCATTAAACACATCGCTTACGATAGATAAAGTACCAATATGCTCTAACAATAAGCGGAATTAAATTGTGATGACGTTATATACGTACTATTCATCTGGAGAGGTGGAGATATACATACATCACACAATAAAATGAAAAATTTTAATAAAGCGAATACAAAAATTTATATAACGGAATAGTTGCTCCTCATGCAGATAAATTCGTTTCTTTATATCAGAATATGAAGAAAAAGAAATTATCTACTACATCATATGCATTGTCATATCATGCCGACATTTCGTAACATGTGTTTGGTATGCAAGGCTTCGGAAAATTGGAGACTGCTTGAAAATAACCAAAGATGTAGAATAAATGCATTCGAGGCGATTTTTTTTTTGAGGCGTTGTTGAAAAGTGAGAGTCCCACGCTCGAGCGCGCAGCTTCTCAAATCTCTCTCTCTCTCTCTCTCATTTTCTTGCACGAAGTA